GGTATATGTTGTCTAACCTTTTCTAACGTTGGTACACACTTACCTTTTACAACCTCTTGATCAGATACTGGACACTTACAAGAATGATTGGGTTTCTTTGTAAAAAAAAGAAGTTTCTTTCGATTGTCAAAATTTGAAAGTCATTTTAGATAATAATAGTACTCCTTTTTGTGAGGAAGTTTACAGTTTCTGGATAGACCGCAGAAAAGAAGTTCAGAGATTTTATTTGTACGTATAGTGCAAATATTTTGAAACTAACAGTTTGCATGGCGAACTGAATGAATTTTGCTTGTCACTGCGTACTCCATGACACAGTGCGCGCGGCGGACAGCACTCGATTCAAAGTAAGTGTGATTATTGTTGTGAATGTCGATCAGCTGTTAATGACAGGCGTTGCGACTACTAGTCCTTACTCTTATACCCCGAAAAATTTTGTTTTATTCTCTCTTTTCTTTTGAATTCTTATTCTGGTTTTGCTAGTGTTTTGTAATGTGCCATTTCGATCGGCTGCGCTCTCTTAGTTTGGCGACAATAAAGGTTTTCATAAATGGAACCGTTTAGACACTGATAAAGATCTCTATTTTCAACCTATTTTATGACTTTTTTCTTCTCTTGTTTTTCCGGCATCAGTTTTAACGTTTTAAAAAGTGTTGCTAGTGTTCAAGTGTAGCTTCGTTGTTAATAGTTGTAACGTTTAACTTGGTTACTAAATCTAAACTGCTACACACGGTCTGAAGGGTGAGAAAAAGATGTGTATTTTTATGGATACTGAAATCATCGAAGATGGAGTTACTGAATAAATTTTTTTGCAATAAAAGTTGTTGGAGTTGTGTTTATTCTTGTTTTAATTTGCATATGCAATTATTTTCCTCTATTCCTTTGGATGATTATACAGATTTTACAATTATTGCATGTGTAGTGTCTTCCACACCTGTTCATGATTGAATCGAGCTTTGTTTACAGGGTAAATATCAACTTAATGCAATCGCCAGCGATGGGCAACTGTTTGCCTGCGCTCTTCCCCCGTATATATAGCTCCACTGGGCAGTCCAGTGAGAATGTGTCCGTAGGCGAGATGCAGCCTTCGAGGATTCACGTAAGTTTTCCTTTCACAATTAAAATTTTAGCTGTACTGAACGTACTGAGTCCTCATTATAGTATGTTAAAAATCGTATTATTAAAAACTGTTTTTAATTATCTTTTCCACATCATCAGTTTAAAAGATGCACATTTATTTAAATCGTCCTGGTGGTTAGAAGAGGTAGAAAGTTTTTCTAGTTCGGCCAGTTTTTAAAGTGGAAGAGACATCGATCTGTTTCATATTTCTTGTTTTCGAATGCTTGATTTTAGTGTACTCCAGCTATATAAATTTTCAATGTCTGTTTCTAATCATTTCCGATTTAATAACCCGAAAGTTGTGACTGTTCAGAAAAATTATGGAAGTTACTCGAAGTCACGCA